TCCAGTAAGTTGCTAACTCAGGAGCCAGGAAAGCTAGAAAGCTAAAATTTTAAGGGGGTGTTTTCTGAGAGTTCTGGCGGGCAGTCTTAATTTATTTAGCCAGAAGCATTTGCTGAAAAAGGCGGTGCCGATAGGAACAAAAACTGCGGAAACTATGCAAAAAACGCATCTTCGCACGGGCAGCCCGTGCGTTGGCCAATTATTTGGTTATTATTGAATAAATTCTTGTGGTTTTCCGGGTCTAACCAGCAAGCAGAAAAAGAGAACTTGTACAAAACGGTGATGCAGGATCACTGTCGTTTATATACATGACGGACAACAACTGGAAATCAGTGTGACTTACGGCAGGATTTTCCGATGAGCACGTGACTGCAACGCAATAACAACAGAAACTTCAAATCGACGATCCTCACTATGGCTACATTGTTCAAAGCTTCACGGAAAAGGTCATGTCAAATCAAATTTAGCGCTCATTCTCATCCACTGTTATCATTCTCTAGATAAAATTTTAAATCGCATTTTTCAAAGCCTATCTTCAGCCTCAAACTGTAAACAAGTACAGTCTTTAAAACAGTGGTGTTTTGTAAATCCTAAATATCATTTACCAATGTCTGCGTCTCCAGGTGGAAGCACATTTGAAAATGACCACTTTCCACTGTCCGGTTCATGCACTGAAAACAACTGGTAAGACACATTATCCTTTCAAATAATAGCTGCCCATCAAAGGCCTCGAACAACTCCGGGATATTTAGAGACTCTCAAGCTCTTCCTTATTTTATGACTTATAAATCCAAAAACACATTGTGAAACATACTTTCTTGTGAATCGGACTCCGCAGTCATACGTGTCAAATGACGTGGTGCACTGGGTGGCGTATCTGAGTCCGCTTCACTGGTGATCAAAAATCGAGGTTTCGCTGCAACAGATTTATAGTTTTCTCACTGATAACAAAATGGTTGTATCTGCAAATCTGTGATAATCTTCAGTCACTGATGAAGTTGTTCTGTGCATCTATAAAGTGAATGAATCCGTACCACCACGTCTCATCAGACTTCTGATGTTTTTGATTAAAACTATACAGTAGTACAGTTACCTGAGATGCTCTTGCCCCATGAGACAAAGGCTCGACCTTATCATGGCTAAATTGTTTAACCCTGGAACCATAATAAAATATGATACAGGGATTTCAGCTGTTAACAGCCGCGAAAATGTAAGCCCATGATGCTATTGTGGGATTCTTATAGAATGACGTGACAGTTGACATTACAACCAAAAAAAAGAACATATAGCAGGCGACTGCTGCATTATGTATTACATATTTGCTATATGCTAAATGCAAGGCAATTTGTGCAACAAAAGTCACGGAACACAGATGGGCACAGCCTTCTGTGGTTTAATAGACGGTAAAAGTATCGATGCATGTCGCGATTAGTGAGAGCCGGGCCGACCACTTTCGAGGACTAAACAGGCCAATTCTAATTTATGAGCTGCATAACAAAAAATTCCAGGATCGGCAGAAAGCATTGGAATTTCCCAGCAATCTGATTAAAATCATTTACTGGAGAATTTCAAGGTATGAGTATACACGAGCCAAGATCATTCAAATATATCAAATTACTTCCCACACCACCCCTGTTTCACTCCTTTCTCTCGAATTCAGCCCCGAAAATTGCCTCGCTTACCCAATCCTATGAGGCGGTATATGTGCGATTTTTCCTCACTTTTCCCTCCCCCAAATCAAGGAAAGGAAATTGTAGGATCACGAAACCTCCGTAGATATTGCAAAATGAATTCAGTCGCAGCATGGATTAGAGCTGTATAAATCGGATCCAAATATGTGAAGAGAACGGGTTTAGCGTACACATACTCGGTTTATCAAGCGATATTACTAAAACACACTCACGCATAACCTTACTGATTTGATAAGCCCTTTAACATCAACTCTAACGTCTCATCCTCACCATACATACGCATCCTCTCTCTGGAGTTTCTAAGCGTTCATTGTCGAACTGTTTTTAATTCAGGACAGAATATAAAAAAAGCTCTGTCTGGCAAAACCATACAAGCATCGATGTTTAGTGTAAGCGCTTCACTGTTTGAATTGCTGCGTACAGAGGCCGTCGATTTCTTTGGAAGCATATCAATTCTTTCGGTAGCTGTGCCGCCGTGAGTAGTCTGGCGTCGTATGCGAGCATTTTTGCAATATGGGTACGTCATGTGATATGCGTCGTTGTCAAGCGCATCGAATGTGTTAGAATTCTGTAGCACAAAACTAATTCACCACAAGGCTTTCTTTTTTAAAACAAAGAAGGATAAGATGGGTTCTGGAAAAGTGCAGTGATACTTCTAGAACTAAGGCAGCACTGGGAAACTGTAGCACTGCGAGATACTGGAAGAACTTCAGGAGGTAAACCTGCCGGTCATGTTACCAGCTACAGAATCACGCAAAGCAATATTGGAAAGCGAAGTTCAGTAGCAATGTATCTGCTGCATTCATTTAGTAAATTTTATACTTTTTAGTTCGCCAAGCTGGATTTGTGTCATTTTTCACGCTACTTCCCAACGTATTGCTGTCTCACAGAGATTAAATTACAGAAAGGATG